TGATCTTTTCCATATGCGTGCTCAGGGTGCTTGCCCTGCCTGACAAAATATTGCATCATCCCAGCAACACTTGAAACATGGTTCCATGCTCATGTGCAGGAGATATTACCTGGAGGCTTGGAAGGTTATGGGCATTGTTATATGCACTGGCTCAATTTAAGTAAATTTCATCACATCAAAAGCTCAGAAATTCCTGATCGCATTTAACTTGACAAAGGAGTCAAAAAACCTTGAACGTAAACACCCTCTCTGTCAGCCAATTCTCGCATTAATGAAGACAAATGAAGTGTTTAATTGTGCAAGACGGTTGCCCTTTCCACCTGGCACAACATGCAAAACACAGCTGCCAAGTCAGCATGCAGCTGAGCAATGGGTTACTTTTTCTGTAAGCTGCTGCTGCCACAGCCACTGAGCGCTTTCCGTGCGTACCACCCAGACTGGCCCTTGGCCCTACAAGCCCAACCCCAATTACTGCGACCCCCGATACCCTGCCAAAAGGCGGAACCGCTCCAGCTCCTGTTCACTCTGAAGCTTCTCAAAAAGTGGGGGGAAAAAACAACCCCGACAAATGCTGCCTGAGGTGCAATTGAGCATGTAAAGACATTAAGGCTTGAATTTCTTGGCGTGTGAAGAAGCGAGATAGACTGAGAGCAGACAGGAAGAGACATTTCACTTAAAATTTGATCAAAAGCAGCAATGGGTGCATCACAACCCACCAGAACCAGAAAAAAACACTTTACAAGGCAAACAAACAGTTTGTCACAACAACAAAAACAGAAGAAACTAAACGACTGCTTACTGGAAGTGTCCCACTAAGCCATCATTGATAACACCAGGGCAATGGGCTGGGTCAGTTGGACTTTGCTCTTCTTGCCATGACAATTCAAAATGTCTCATGTGGAAACGGTTAATCCAAGTACTTTGTATACTTTTTGTAAGGCACTTCTGCTCTTCTTCAGTATGAATTGTGTGTGCAGTGCACTTTAATTTCCTCTGGTATGGATATTTTTGGAAGGTATGGGTTCAAAATCTCATTTCTGTATGTAATTTGCCGGATCTCCCTGTGTCTGCCAGCGTGTTTTTTTCCAGGCACTCTTCATTCCAGAGTCCAAAGGCATTTAAGGTGAATCAGTGACTCTCAAGTGGCAGTGGATGTGAGCCAGACAAAGCACAGCGAATGAAGATGTGTGCGCAATTGCAGTGTGAAGCACCGAGTGGTGTCCTGACATGTAAAGAGGCAACCTTTGCTGACATGTTATCCACAATTACCTAGTTAGGAGCTAATATGATGTGTGCAGCATATTCAGCTTGTCCTTAAACTTTGAATTTGTCTGCCAATGTTAAAGAAGCAAAAGTGCTTTCATGCAGATAAACTCATAGCAAAGACACTCCTGCCAGCGAGAACTTCACTAACACACAAACAAAGTATGAGGTGACATTTGCACACAAACACACGCGCACACACTAACAGAGGGATCAGCTTTCAGTAATCTACTTTAAAGTTGCCTGCTGACAAGCTGATCGTATTTGGTGTCTAGACATAGCGGCTAAAGAGAAAACCGTGTGCTCTCTCTCGCTCTTTCCCTCCCGTCTGTTATTTTGACCAAAACAGCACAAAAACATATCAAATCCTGAATGCACTAAATGCTTTCAGATTGTGGCAGATCTGAACTGATGGCAGGTCAGTTTAGCACTCGTGTGCACTTAGTCTTGCTAAAATAAGCATAGCTTATTGCATTAACCAAATGCTACTTCAAAGCATGCATGCAATGATCAGCATCAATAATGCTATTAGAGATGTGCATGCAACACATGCCATGTGCACTAACCAAGCCCCGTGATATCACGAACGCTCCAGAGAAGCATGACAACATTTCTGCATCATGGTCGCTTTGTAACTGGAATAATTTTTCATTTATCATTTATATTACATAAATATATATTTATTTCTATATAAAAACCTGCACGTTGCACCTTCACACCACAAATGTCTTAAAGTAGGTTTAAAAAGAACAAGGAAAACAAAATAAACACAATATTATTCCCTTAAAAGTAAATAGTGTCCAATGAGTGCGCTGCTGTGGCAGAAGTTTGCACTCTCAATGTGTTTAAAGTGTGTATTTTTAATCATTTGGAAAGTGTGTTCGCTGATGATGGTTTTAGGAGGTGTTCCCGATGGTTTTGCATTTTCCTTGCATATGGCCAGACAACCTATCGATGACATTGTGAAGGTAGATGACTGAATGTTTCAAAATTCGATATGTTAAAATGATTTGCAGTTAAACAGGATTTACGTTATTTATTTGTGTTTTATTCTTTTGTATAAATGAGGTAAAAATGATACGTTTTCATCGTTTTGAAGGATTTTAGTGAGCCGCAGTTCTTTAAACCTCAGCAGATCAAAGGAGCACGCAGGGAAAATAAAAATATTCGTGGCCAAACAAAGAGCGGGACTAGCCAGTGCTAGATTTATGAGCAGATTTTCTGTTTATCTTCACATTCTCACTCATTCAGTCTCATTACAAGGAAAAAAATCTTTCTCAGACTAAGCCGCCAACATTTCAGCCACCAGACCCCCTGCACACTTTGAATCAGGAACTTCTCAATCCCATAAATTTACTTAATATATGTTTATGAATGCTGACAGTGCTACAGTAAGCGCATGCCATCACATAATGAATATGGGTTAATTAACAAAGGTATGTTAGACCTCAGCTGTACGAGACAGCTCTATTCCATTGAAGTAGATCGCGCTGAGGCTGCCAGGAAAAACACTTTCCTTTGGAGAGAACAATTCATCTGCGGTTCTCTTGGGGAATGGGGTAAAGGGTGCTGGGGAGGTCAGTCATATTGCCCACCGACCAACCCTGGCATATAGTCGTGAAAGTTAAACGAGAGAGAAAGGGAATATACTTTAGAGGGGATCTGCCTCCTGGGTCACTTGCTAATTAAGCTGCATTTATCTTGGCGTTGAGTCAACCTTAATATTGAACCTAGATCCAACATAGAACAGCGCCACAAGCACACAGAGACTGAAAACAGCTGAGTGCTGAAAGGAATCACAAGTATGGCTCCTGGGAGTCTGTGAGCTCCTCATCTGAAGACACATTAGCATCATAAATGTAGCAAAACGCAGCATTTGTAACGTCAGTTTAAGAAATCCTCTATTTCTGTTCTGCTATTCAGTTAAGTAAGTAGAAAAAAAATTTGTAGATTTTATACATGCAGGTTAACTGCTGGTAATGTCTGCTTTGGCCTTGAATGTTCTCTAAAAGTCATTCTAGATCATGACAATTTCATTCTACTGGTCTGTCATCAGATTTTACAGATTACAGATTTCTATCATTTCATCTAAAATAAAGAGGCAGAAGTACTTTTCCCACAGAGTTAAGTCATTCTATCTATTTACAGTAAATGTGGGGCTATCACAACCAAAGCACCTGTGTGCTGAATGTAACAAAAGTCATTCTAATGAAGCCTATAAAGAGCAGCTGAGGCTGGGATGGCATGACTACAGTATGTCAGAGTGGTTACATAAATACTCTCTGTATGATGTTTGGCTTGAAAATCATTTAAAAAGCGGTTCGTGCAAATTCAAACATTTGCTCGAGGTCAGTGCGTCATAAATCACACTGCTGTTTGGGTTCAGCATGAAATCCAAACGCTGTAAAGATGGTGTTTGTGGTTTCTAACTGTAAACATGTATAACAGCATCTGAATTCTTGACTCCTTATAGTTTCTTTTTCCCGTTAAATATTTCTCCGGCATATAAAAGTTAAATCATTTAAGGGCAGGCAGTATCTAGAGTTCACATGAACATTACAAAGAAGGCGTGGTCAGAACCCTCCCAAAACTCAAAATGACCTTTGCCCTTTGCAGATCTGTAAGACTATCCAGCACATGCAAGTTGTCAAATAAGTCCTCACGATCCTGCTTGAAAGCACGATGGCGAGTTCAAGCAGATATTTTATTTCAAAAGAAATGTCACTGTTTGATTAGTGGTGAGCATCTGTTGAAGGCTGGTGAATATTCAATACGTTGAGGTCAGATGGTTATTTGCCGAGGCGTGGAAACACGTGTCTGAAGGACTTTCTGCAGAGGTCACAGAGGCACGTAAACCAGAAAAATGCGAGTGAAGTCACGTCAACGACAAAACGTGCTCACAGAAAACACAAAAGCGCAACGTAAAAACTCACCTTGAGCTAACTCTTGGCGCTAACGTAATATAGTTAAAAAGCCTTCAATCACTTTTAAAAGATTGCTCTGTTATCACGCCAGGACTAATCCCATCACTGAGGATGAGGATACACATCAATGCCTGCAACAACATCAGTTTGACACCTTCATACCTCCCTCCCCGACCGCTTAGATAAAACATCTGGGAGAGAGATCAGCTGACAAAAACTGCCACAGGCAGGAATCATGTGTCATCAAAGGTGATGGCAGAGCGCGAGGAATGCGATGGGGCACCCCACCCCCGAACACGCAACAAATGTTACTGCGTTTGCGTGTGCTGCCCTGTTTTGCATCAAGCTGGGTCAGCCTGCAGTCAGATTACACCTCCTCTCCCAAGGTCCCACAATCATCATTCACTTGCATTCATTACTGAGGTGTAACATAGATGATTTTTCACTCCTCTGCTGCGAAGTGTTATGTAAACACAATGCGATAGATTTATTGGCTGTTTTAGTTTTATCTGACATCTCGATTTATTTAAATGCGAGTTCTAAGGGAAGGAGAATTGGATATTTGAAGTTTATGTTTGAAATTAAAAAGCAGGAATGTGGGAATTCGGTAATAACCAGCTAGAACCCCCTTAAGGTCATCTGGAAGAGGCTGCCTTGGTTATTCCCTGGATCCCCAGACATGGGGAAGCTGCTTTTACCTTTTATGCTGTGCTCCTGCTTTGTGTGGCACATTGTGTTTTCACCTGCAATAAAACGTGCTATACATATTAAGTTTTTGCTAACAGAGATGAACGGCGATGCTTTTAAACTTACCGGGTCTTCTGGTTTTTGGCCGCCATCATGCAGAGGCTCTTCAGCAAGGTGATCTCGCCGAATCAGCGTGAATTCCCTGATGAACACTGCATCTCCATTGTTGGCCCACACGGCAATCTGAAAAAACAAAGCCACAGTAGCAAAAGTCCTTTGAGTTAAAACACCAACAGCACTGGTGAGACAATTTATGGATTCAAGAATGCTTTAAATGAAATTCTCGTCACATCAGCAGATGCCCCAGCTCCACCTTACGGTGTGGGAACAAGAACAGCTGCGTCCCAAAGTGTCAACAGTCATAGCTATTTGTAATGGTAGCTGACGGTTGTGCAACTTTTACATAATCGTACACAGTTCACACTGCAATTACACATGATTGCAGAGGTGTGAAGGCAGGGCAGGGTGTTAATGGAAGCCTTTTGAGAACGTGTTTGCAGTGATGTGATGCAGCTGAAGGAGGCAGTTGCAGGTTATTATCAAGCTGTGCAACAAATTGTTGCAACGATATGTTGTCCCTCTGGAACAATGATGAGATTTTTTTTTAATTAAGCAAAACTGTTGCTCTTGCTGGGCCTCCTGAGGTCTGTTTTTTCTTTTCTTTTTGGTTTCTTCTCTCAACCACACATCCCTCCTGATGATGGGAATCATTACAGGCTCTGGAGGAATTCACAGCACAGGAGATCTGATATCACAAGATGTAGTAACCCACATCTTCAGTCAGGAGAGACTGGTGGGGGTGAAGGGTATGTTGGATAGGGCCCATTAGCAGCACAGCAGGGCCCGCATTCTGAAAGACGTGCAGATTCACTGAACGGGGGCCTTCAGCTGCTATCCTTGGGTCATAAACAGCCCTGTAATAACCCGGGTCGACTGCCTGCCTCCCGGGCCTGTGCTAAGGCAGCACGATGCAGGGCTGTGCATGTGGGTTTGGGGCACTTGAGGCTCAATGTAGGGGGTTGTAGAAATTTTTTGCTGAGGCGAAAAAAGCGCTGCTAAGCAACTGCAGCAAAACTTACGCTGGCTCTGTGTGGGAAAGAGCCGCAGAATGTGCTCTCAAATAAGACAAATCAAATCTGGTGTAAAGCCCCACACTCAGCACCGCTTAGCTGCAGTCACTTAGACTGTGGGGGGCTTCTGTAACAACTCATAAGTCACAGCGTGGCCAAAAGCCTCCTTGGATGACAGAGACCATAATGCACAGGCTTGCTTTTGTTGGTTATGGAGCTGAAGATGTGGCAGCTGTTGGGCCAAGTGTAACACTTCGGTTTATACGTGTCTGAAGATGAACAAAAATAAACATTTTACTTTAGACTGTTTATAATTATTCCAAAGTGGTTGCATGTGGGAGTCTGCAAATCCAGAAGGAGACAAATGAGTGTGAAGACTCACTTGTTAGAAAGTGGTAAAACATGCTGCTGGAAATTTCCAACCGTGCCTCAACAGTTCGAATATCTAAGATCTGTTATGTCTACGCAAGTGAATTCAGCACATTTTAACATCCACCCATTCGGTTTCTTCCACTTATCCAGTTCAGGGTCATAGGGGCTAGAGCCCAGCTGTCATAGGGTGACTGGCAGCGTGCACCCTGGACAGTTTGCTCGTCTGACATTTGAAACCAAATAACTGATATGGAAACCTCCAAAACAGTCTATTTCTGAGCATATTGCGCAGGATCTCTAGTCATATGACTAATGTTGTGTCCTTTCTGCTACTGATGCTGAAAAGTAAATGTTGAAGAACCACGCACTATACCGGAGGCTGAGCAAATATCCAGTAAGTCAAGCGTGCAAACATTAAGAAGCTCTGCTGATGTGTGTGTCAGCTAACACGCTCCAAACACAACTTGACTGCAAATGAAGGCAGACAATGCAATAACTGTTCCTTCTTAAAACAGACCCCAAACCACAGAAATTACCTTATTGCTATTTTGTAAAACCAGTAAATAACTGACACTGCCTCTGGATTGGCAGACTGGAGCAATGGTTCCCATCTTTAAGAAGGGGGACCAGAGGATGTGCTCCAACCTACAGGGGGACAACTCTCCTTAGCCTTCCTGATCTATGCCAGATATATGCCAGGGTACTAGAGAGGAGAGTTTGTCAACCCTTGGATGCAGGAAGAACAATGCTGATCAAGAAAAACTGGACTCGCTTAAAATTGGGCACGCATGCAGCAGAAATGAGCTTTCGCCAAAGGGTGACTGGGTTCTCCCTTAGAGATAGGGTGAGGAGTTATTCGAGAGGGACTCGGAGCCACTGCTCCTCCACATTGAAAGGAGCCAGTTGAAGTGGTTTGGGCATCTGACAAGGATGCCTCCTGGGCGTCTGCTAGTTGGAGTGTTCAAAGTATGTTTGACTGGGAAAAGGCCCTGGGGCAGACCCAGGACACACTGGAGAGATTGCATCTCCTGGCTAGCCTGGGAATGCCTCGGTGTTCCCCCAAGTGGGAGGAAAGGAGGAGGTAAATAGGGAGAGGGAGGTCTGTGCTGCTTAGGCTGCTGTCCCTGTGATCTCTTTGGATAAGAGGAAGAAAATGGACAGATGGATGGTCCCAATTGGGAAATAACAGATGATGAAGCAAAGCCTAATTTGGGGTGTTTCTATCCTATGATAGGTTAAAAATCTAACTTTAACCTTTAACTTTAAAGATCTATGAGTATTCAAGTGTTTTTCATACACCTGTGACATATCAGTGGGTGATGTCAATATTTTTTATGGATATTTTTCAAATAAATTAATATAAACAGACCTAAAAAGGGCTTACACTCAACAGAGTACACAAACATGACTCCGCTAATGTCGCTCCGTGTCGGCCAAATATGGGAATTAATGAGCGTGTTAGATCTTTGACAAGCACAAATGTTCCAGTTTATGTACACTTAAAGCTTGAAGTTTGGAGCCAACTCCAACTGGTATTCAAATATCTAAATCTGCATTTGGGTTTAAATGCAGTGTGTGTATGTGCGCGCGTCAATGTCACAAAGAGCAAGGGTGAAAGTAAAACAGGGAGCCAAGATGGTGATTCATTAACCTCCAAGGCGAGTTAGATTTCAAAGAGCACGTCTCAACCAAGGAAGAGGAGAGGAAGTGAACTCCGGGGCAAGTTGGGTCTTCAAAAGCACATAATCAACAGTAATAACATCCAACCTGATATTATAATTGAGCTTTCCTATAACGAGGTGCCAGCTTCCACTGTTTGGGTGGAAACGATGAAAAACGAGTGACTTTTGCCATGCTACACTAGACCAAAACCTAGACTTCTGTTTCATGCACTGGTGCCTTTGATTAATAAGATTCCTTCCAATGTTTAGATAAGGAACCCCCCCCCCCCCTTTTAAAGACTTGCTGCTGTCTGAATAAAACCTAAGAGGAAAAGATATTTTTGCTAATCTACTTTCAGAGGGGTTTATGTGAGCTTTCATTTAACACATCTTGGAGGAGGAAACGCGGTGGCCTTATTTTCCTCCCTTTCTCTACTCTTCTTTCATAACCAAAAAAACCCAGCATGACCTTTTTCTCATCTGAGGATTTTCACCATATCCGTCACTGCCCGCCCACACATCAGCTAGTTAGAAGATTTGTTTAAGCATGAGATTATGAGTGCTTAGCAATATATCAATTACACATCGGGGTTTCAGAACTGATGAAGGTAACTCATAAAAAATGCTGAGACTTGGCACACCTCAGGTTACAAGACACCCCTTAATGTACTGTAAGATGAAAAGGAAAAAACAACCCGCCTGGTTATAACTTTCACCTCAGCTATCCACACAGGAAACCTTAAATGTAACAGTTCATGACAAAGCTTTGTGAGAAAACTAAGTAAAATTGAAGCACTACTTTCATCACATTCTCTGATTCCTGATGGATTATTTAGTTATCTAATATTCTTCCTCAGGCAGCCTTTGAAGTTGTACCACCTCCCCAGTTTCTCTGCCAGATTTCACTCAACTTGATTTACTAGTGTCTGTCTCCCAAGTGCAGTCTGTCCTAAGAACAAGAAGAGAAGAAGGGCAAGGAGCTCAACTTGCTGTGATCTTCAACTCCCACCACTTTTCATCTGGAACAGCATTAGGAATGAGAAGCCTCAGGAGACAGAGAGGAAAAAAAATCATCAACCTCTGATTGATGAAATATTTTCCTGGCACTGTCACATCCCTTTGCGTGCGGGTCTGTGTGTCCCACTTGTTAACGTCTGCTAACGATGCACAGCACCTTCACGGTGATGCACTTTGTTTCTATGACACTTTAAAGTCGTCGTGAAGCAGCCTGCTTTACTTACAATCTGGTGCATTTCCTGTTGAAACAGGATACTATAAAACAGTGCAAGAAGAGATTAGTTAAAAATGTAAACAGAATTCAACACATTCACATGGCGGCCATTTGCCTCGCTAGGGTCTCGCTAAAGGGAAGCTCAAGTATTATTACTAGAATAATGTTGCTGCTCCAGGTGGGAAATCAAATAATTTGGATAAATCAGAAATATCACACACTCTCTTGGTTACTCAACAACTGAAGAGACAATACATAGAAAAGTAGTGGGGCGTACTGGTCAATTAGCTAATGCTAGACAACGGCTACACTTAGCATTCAAACATTTTCTAGCTAACTTTGCTACCAAATAGTGTTAGAGTAAAGGTGTAAATCGAATCTGAAATATCAAGTTTGGACACAGTTTAGATGCATTTAAGTGTTGAAAGAAATAATGCTGGATTCACTCATTCTGACAATATCACATTAGCTAACTCTGAAAATGTTCTGGTTAAGCTAGTAATATTACGCAACATTAAACTCACTGGAAGACATGCATTCAACAGCAACTTTATTAAGTACACCTGTTCAGCTGCTTGCTATCAGAAATATAGACTGCGACTGTCCCATGTAACTGTCTTTAGGGTTCACAGAGAATGGTCTGAAAAGGAGTGAGTAGTAGTGAGTGAAAACGCCTTATTGATGCTGGAGGTTAGAAGAAAATGGGCAGACTTATTCGAACTAATGGGAGGGCAACAGTAACTAAAATAGCCACTGCACACCTAAGGTATGCAAAAGAGCTTCTCTGAACACATAAACCATGAAGCAGATGGGATTCAGCAGAAGACGCTTGGCAAAATGTTACTTTGT